TGTCTCCCTCTCTCTCTGCCCCTCCCCTGCTCACACACTGTCTCCCTCTTTCTCTCAAAAATAAGTAAATATCAAAAAAAAAAGTTTTTTAAAGAATAATTTAAGAGAAATATTTATTTCCATTATGAATTTAAATTTCAATTAATATATTTTATATTTACATAAATTTAATTTTATATATAAATTTAATTTTAATTTAATATATATTAAATTAATACATGTTATTTTATAAATATAAATTTAATTTCATGTTTTTGTTGAAATTCTAGTTTCTTATAATGCTAATTACTTATTTGCTTTATTTAGAATATGGGCATAATAGTTTCTGATATATTAAAGGCAGATTAAGATTATTTTTGTGATTTTTTTTTAACCCTATATATCCCACTAGAAATGTTCAAATCAGGTCACTTTGAAGTAATTTTTTGCATGGGTAGGTAACTAACTTGATTGGTAGTTAAATGCACTTATTTCCATTTGTTTTAATTTCTTCAAAATTTGAACTCTTCTTTTTAACTTTTACATTTAGCATATAAATCAGATACATGATTCCAAAGTCAAATCTAGGTCCAATCAAGGTACATGTCTTACCTTTCTACCTCCCCATCCACATGCTTTTCTCCCTTCCTTGAAAACTATTACTTTTCAGTTTACCCTTTCATTGCTCCTTTTGAAAAATATCAACAAATTATGTTTTTGTTTATTCATATTCTATTCATATAAAAGGTAGCATTCTATAAACATTCTTTTGTTTTGTCTGTTCACTTAACATATTCTGAAGACAACTCCACAGCAATACATAAAAAATTCCATGTTCCCACTGCAGAGCTAAGTGTTCCTTTGTGCAAACATAATTTAATCAACCAGTCTCTTGTTACTGGACATTTGAGACAATTCCAGTCTTTGGCCAATATAAATAATAATATCAGAAACAACCACTGAACAATGGGGAGTGAGAAGAAATGGATATTTTATGTCTTACCTGTTTAACTTCAATTAAGGAAAACTTTTAAAAAAAATGTAGAAATCCTAATGACTGGGAAAAAACTAATTATATAATTAAATGTCTATATAGCAAAAAAAGACAAAAATCAAAACAAAAAAACTGAAATAGGGAAGTGATGGACAATAAAAAGAAACTTTAGAACTCGTGACAAAAGGTTAGTCTTTCTCATTTTACAAAAGAATTGTTAGCTATATAGAAAAATACTTCCAGTTGAGTATGGCAGATTGAACACCTACACTTACATCTGCACCCTCTTAAAATACTAAAATGCAAAATAAACAGAATTTTCAGAAGGCTTTTATAGCTGTCAAGAAGAAAAGAAAGGATGTGATAGTAACAATTTTTCATACTCTAGAATGTGAAAAAAACAAGAAGTAATTCAGGACCTGGAAAAACTGAATGATCAGCCAAAATACAGAAAACAGAACACAATTTATTTCATCAAACCTCTCAAAAAACTCAAATTGTTGGAACCAAGCATCTCTGGAGTTGGAGACAGAAGTGAGACTGAAAACAGAAGAAATGCCTGAAAGTCAACTTAAAAATAAGTTCACCCAGGGGCACCTGGATGGCTCAGTCAGTTGGGCGTCCAGCTCTTTATTTCAGCTCAGGTCATGATCTCACAGTTCATGAGATTGAGCCCGTGTCAGTCTCTGTGCTGGCCATAAAGAGCTGGCATGGGATTCTCTCTCTCCTCCTCTCTCTGCCCCTCCCTCACTCTCTCTCAAATAAATAAACTTACTTTTTAAAAAAGTACCACGGAGCTATCAAAAATAGTGTTTCATTCATCATCTAGGAAGATGCTCATGGTTACACATAGGAAAACTGAATAATGTATATGACATTTTTATGAAGAGAAAAAAAATTCTAGTTATGAATGTATGTTTTATACATCATTATAAGTGCAGAGAAGGTCTAAAAGCATAACAAAAATACCATTGGTTAAGCTAGAGATGGAACTGAGCGAGGATAGCTTTTTCCATTGTGCACTTTTGTGTGGTTTGACTAGAATCAATCATGGGTGGTCTTAGAAGTCTGAAAGAGTACAAGGAGCAAAAATATCCCATATGGAATGAATCCTCCTATTCTTACTTTGAAGTTATTGACATCAGGCCTACTCTGCCTGTACAGTCCACAATCCTGGTTACTACTAGAATCTGGAGATCATCTACTATGTTGTTAGTGGCTCGTCAGAATCTATCTAGAATAGTTACCCTGATTTTCATTATTACACATTGCATAACCTTTTGGAAACTTTGAATTAGATTGAGACAATATGCTAAAAATTCCACAAATTAAAAGCATAGACATGTACCTTTTTTCTCCAGAAGAGTTCATATTTTCTCCATAAAGAAGTAAGGTAAGTCCTTCTTCTATAGACGCTATTCTTGCCAATATATCAGCTATGTGAATTAAAGCGGTTTCAGAGCAATTTGGAGCAGTCTGTACATTAAAAAGATAACAAATCATAATTTTATGACATGTTAATATATCACAAACTAAAACTCAAGGGGGGTAGTGTAGTCTAACAAAGTTATATTACCACAACAAAAAGAGAGTTAATGATTGTTTGGTTGTGAATTATGTCTGAATTAAATGTGTCATTAGATTATATTCACTTAGCACAGTTGATAAGACAAATATATACAGGCCTTTTACCCGAACCAGTTATTGTTTATGAACACAGCTGAGGGACCTGCTGTTCCCATTACAGTTTTATATATAATTCTATTTGACAGATGCAGTAGCTCCTCTATTTCCACTTTGCTCTTTACTTCCCACTCACTGGATTCCTGAATATCCAAACTAATTTTTTTATATATGGTTTCTAACAAACTGCCATCATTTTTAAGGAACATCACCCCTTCCTGCAATTGGCTGGGTCATAAATTATAGGTCTGAGTAAGGACAAGCAATTCATGGGATGGCCAATAGTGAATGATGTCATCTAATGAGGAAAACATGGCCTGAACCAATCATATTTCTTCACTTTTAATTGTAAATAGAAATACTAAAAATATCTTTGCAAATTAGTACAAGGAAAATACTAGAGTCATATTAATGCTGGAGCCCATCTGGAAGTCTAAGTCTACTAAAATTCTGTTCTCTCTGGGGCCGACCTACTTGTCTGTACCTGCACAGCTGCCAATACACATATTCTCTATAAGAAATCTGAGTATCTAAACATTGCAACCAACATATCCTAATAAATTCAGTGAGTTAGCTTAACTAAGGAGTCAGGTATATTCACCTGAATATTTCATAATTATATTAGGCATTATTATACTATCTCTTACTTTCATATTAAGCATCTTTCTTAAAACAACTTCTCTGCCTGGAATACTTTCCTTCTCTCATACATACACCTTCTTTTAAAGAAAAAAAATTTTTTTTAAGTACTCTGTCTACCCAACATGGGGCTCAAATTTACAACCCTGAACTCTACTTACTGAATCAATCAGGCACCCCCCTTACATATACCTTCTTAAACCTTTCTGCTCCTCATTCAGTATTTTAACAGTTTGTCTTTCCTATTAGAGTACGCTCCTTCAAAGAAAGGTATAGGTCTTAATCTCTTCTATATTTCAAACACCTAGCACAAGCCAGTGATACAGTAGTGGCTCAATGAGTGATGCTGAATGTTTTAATGTTAAATACAGAATGTCTACCATGTGCCAGAAGGCTGTTTCTTACTCTCAAGAATAATTCCAACGTAAGTACAGAAGTACATAACATGAGGATATAAGAGAAAGAAAGCTTTTCCAGGGAGAACTAGAAGTTTTAGGAGAAAAAAAAAAATAAACTATGGTCTGAAGAAAGGAATTTTTCACCTAGACCACTACTTTCCAGGGCAAGGGGAAAGCATACAAACATAGGGAAATATTGAAACCTTGTTCAAAAAATGCAAATAATCTCTTATAACTAAAATACATGGGAAAAAATAGGTAGGACACAACAGAAAACTTGACTAATGTCTAGTTAGACAGTCTGAAATGTATCTAGCAAGGAACAAGCAGGAAAACACCATGACAGTCTTAGTGGCAATACAGAGGACAGGCTAGAAAGGTGAAAGACTGGAAAAAAAATTAGAAAATTATTTCAGTATTCCAAGCAAGGAATTATCAGAGCTTAAACAAAATCAGTAGCAGCAGGGATTAAAAGACATACATGGATTTTAGAGATATGTAGGAAAACAAGTCTTTAGGGCTTAATTACCAACGGAATGAAAAAAATGAGGAAGGAGTCTAGATATATATAGCAGTCCTACTTACCACGCAGGGAAATGCAAGGAAGCTTAAAAAAGCTGAGCAAGAACAACAACAACAAACAAAAAAAAAGAGAGAGAGAGAAAGAAAAGAAGTGACAGGCCAAAAACTAATTTTTTGAAAATGCGAGTTTGATTTTCACACGGAATAATTCAAAAAAGGTGTTCAACAGGTATCTAAAGACAAATCTGGAGCTGAAGAGATCTAAATTTAGAAGTTAACAGGGGCTCCAGGGTGGCTCAGTCAGTTAAGCTTCTGACTCCTAATTTCAGCTCAGGTCATGATCTCAAGGTTTGTGAAATCGAGCCCCACGTTGGGCTCCACGTTGTCAGCATGGAGCCTGATTGGGATTCTCTCTCTCCTTCCCTCTCTGCCACTCCCCTGCTCACATGCATATGCTCTTTCTCAAAAATAAACCTTTTTTTTTTTTTTTTTTTTTTTTTTTTTTTTTTTAATTTTTTTTTTTTCAACGTTTATTTATTTTTGGGACAGAGAGAGACAGAGCATGAACGGGGGAGGGGCAGAGAGAGAGGGAGACACAGAATTGGAAACAGGCTCCAGGCTCTGAGCCATCAGCCCAGAGCCCGACGCGGGGCTCGAACTCACGGACCGCGAGATCGTGACCTGGCTGAAGTCGGGCGCTTAACCGACTGCGCCACCCAGGCGCCCCAAAAATAAACCTTTTTAAAAGAAAAAAAAAGTTAACTAATCATCAGAATTGGAGGAAATCATCTAGGAAAAGTGTACTGAGAGAAAAGAAAGTGAACCAGATTCTGACTCACTGAAGACAGCAGAGACCTAGAAGGGGAGCCCTCAGAGGTGACAGAGAAGGAATCATTAGAAAGACAGGGATAAGAGTAATATATAGGACTTTAGGAAAGCCAGGTCAACAATTCTAGAAGTGGCCTACTGTGTTAATAATAATAGGTAAATAACAGTCTGAAAAGTGGTTAGTAATTAGTTACAGGTTTAAGAAGTTATGAGCAACTGCAATCAAAGTAGCATCAATGATGTAGTGGAGGTAAGATCATAATACGATGTTTGGAAACATGATGGAATAGAGGGAGCCAGGACAACAATGGCAGTCCAACATAATTAAAAGCTATCATTAAAGAGACAAGATATCAGGTGGTAGCTAAAGACGTGCACTGATGATCAACAGCTTTTCTCATCCCAACTATGAGACAGATTCAGGCATATTTATAGGGAAAGGAAAGAAGCCAAAGGAAAATAAAAAGTTAAAGATATATGAAAGCAAAGACAAACAAAAACTCTGACACAAAATCCAAAAGCACATTTCTCAGCTCTGGTATATGGTTTATATTTCATATTACTATTGCTATTATTTATTATACTATTATATTATATACATTAAACTGTATTAGGAATTCTACTGGTTGTTCTCTATTTAACTTCCTAAGGCTGACCATAAAAATCAAAATTCTATCCCCTTAATTTCCTAGAATCCCATACTTTGTATCACATTCACATAAGTGTTTAATGTTTTCTGAATGAGCAATGAAGAATGAATACATAGATGGGTAAACAGTTCCCAGCCACTGAGGGGTGGGCAAAGGAGATGAAAACAGTAAAAACACTACAAAACACAGACCTAGAAGGGCAAAACCTTTAGCCTACTAAGATTTAAGTCATTCTCCCCAAAACTTAAATCACAGAAGTGGACATTTAGCAGTATTGGTAGTGATACCAATTCTGCCACCTGTTAAATGTGTAAATTTAAAATTACTCTGACCTTGAGTAATTTACTTCTTTCAGCCTCAGTTGTAAGGATTAAATTATATAACGTAAAGAAACAGTCCATACAAAATGTAAAGAGATATGAACATCCCAGTTCTGTAGAAGTTTTTTTTCTAAAATATTATTTCTTCATATAAAACAGAGCTGACTCTTCAGAAAAATAATCTAAAGGCTATAAAATTACTATCAAAACAAAACATTCACAAGATTTACTAATTTTACAAGACAAATAGCTTAATAACTTCTCTCAATCCTTATAATCAGATCTAGGCCTGACTAGAAAAAAAATTAAGATGTTATATGTATTTCCCCCCTACACTGTCAATAATGAATAAATCAACTGACTATGTAAACTATGATTTAATAGTAAATAAAAATTTATGTCAGCATAAAAGCATACAGGGAAAGATGATATAATAAATATTTCAAATACATGAAATTTAGAAATAAAGTCCCACTGAATATTCCCTAATACCCATTTAAGAGACCCTTTTTAGTAAATACCAACCTTAGTTCCTTTCATTAAGTTATGAATAGGCTGAAGAAGTGCCTCAACCACAGTGTTGTTATACAAGCATTCAATTGCACATTCTTTCTGATCACAGAGTATCTGAAGAACTTCAGTCACCATACTTGCAGGAGAGTAATTATCTGATAAAATAATAGTTCTCTTAGAAATTAGAACTTTAAACATTAAGAACTTAATATAGTTTATTTATGAGGTAGCCATTGCTGTTCCAAAAAGATCAACATCAAAGTTAAATAGTTAAAAACAAACAAACAATTACCCAACTCAATGCCCAAAGGATGATGTATTGCCAAATCATAACCTGAAACCTAAGGGAAGATGAATTAGCTTAATATATCCTCAAGTTAATTTTAAAGAAGTGAATGACAAATCTGAATTCTGAGAAACAACAGAAGATCATCTGCTATTTGACATTAAATCACTGCTTAACAGTAAGGACGTGGTATGAAACAAATTTACAACTTTTCTCCTCCCAGCAAACATTTACTTGTATTCACTTTTTCTTTTTCTTAAAATATGCATTCAAGTGTTCATCCTGGTAGAAAATTAGAGTAAAACATAATCACCAAAAATGCAAAAAGGGGAGAAAATTCCTCAAATACTAATATACTACTACTTATACATATTACCATAAAACCAGTGAAATGAATGAGCACTGTAAAGATTCTCCTTTAAAATATGTACAAAAAACACGAATATATATAAATCTAACAAATGGAATAGTCACTAAAGTGAGTATGATATTTTTTGGTTTCATAAATCAATATATTTTCAGGTTATTTGACCTAATATACTCACAAAATACTGTTTTACAAGAAAGTAAGGAACCAAAAGTTAACGGCATAAGGTTTTAAGACAGACTATTAAAAGTAACACCAAAATTCTTAATTTATGTTACAATATTCTTTCTTCCCTGAACACACTAAGACTTCAAGTCAACACTTAACAAAAATAAATGAAAAGTGACCTTTTTCAATCAGTTCCAGACCCTGTTTGCAATGAGAGATATTATTGATGAGCATACAGCCATTTATTCATTCATTCTTTTATCTACTTACCAGTGCCTACTATGTGTCAGACATTGTGCTAGGCACTGTAGACATGCATAACCAAGACAAAAAATAGAAAAAAAAAGTCCACTAGATGGTAAATCAAGCCACTGACAAGTAATTATAAGAAGGAACATTTTTAACATAAAAGAAACACAGTATGTTGTAGGAGCACTAAGCAGGGGGACCTAAGCTACATCTTTATAACACGGAAATGCTATAAAGGCAGAAAGAAGTTTGAGAGCCACTGTTAAGACTAATAAGCTGGTATAACTGCATAAATGAAACATACTAATTAATTGGTAGCTGCATTTAGCACTAACATATATGGCCAAAATTTGTTTTCCCTTTGATTAACTTGAACTCAGAATTTTGCAGCACTTCTACGGTAACTTCCAGGCTTAGAACATTGACTAAGAGTCGTTTTATTGAAAAATGAAGTTTTTGTTTTTGCTCTATTCTTTAATAAGAGAAGATCTGAAGTTTTAAATGTGACCTAAAACAAGCAGGCTGATCAAAACATCAGAAAAGTATAAAGGACAGAAAACAGCAAAGAACACATTAGTACCTATCAATCAAACTTCCTTTAATAGCATTTCTTAAGAATGACATTAAAATTCTCAGCAAAATTGATTCTACATAAGAAGGAAATAAATTAGGAATATCTTAAAACACCAATAAACAAAATTAGATTTCATGGTTTACTCCAAGATCAATGCGATTTGTTATGAATAATACTGCATCTTAGGAAACCTCTTTACCAAACTAGGTCAGTCACTCAAAATATCTAGACAACAGAATATTAAGTATTTTTAGATATTTCTATTACTCTATTTAAAATAGAAGCAGAATTACCTAGATGTGCAGCAGATGTCATCTTTGGACAACTTGGTGAGTAATAGATAAGTTGGGTAAACAAAACCACAAGATCTGTAAGGGATACTAAATCTTCAAAAAGGAGAAAGAAAAAGATTATTTTCTAGTATATATTTACAACTTAAAAAAATTTAACTGAGTTTCCCATCCTCCTAAATTTTCAGAGATTGTGGTAAAATCAGTGAGAAGCGGGCTAGAACCCAAGACAGAAGACTCCAGAAAAACAAACTGCCCAATCTGTTTTGTCTAATGGCAAGTTAAAAGATGGCAAGGAAAATAATACAGTAGGTGCTATGTGAAGTTTTACCATTGATGTTGGACCAGTCACTTAATATAAACCTACCATAGGAAGATCTTCAATCTGATCAGGACTATGAATTTATTAGGAATGAGAAAATTCAGCTTAATGTGTTAGTGCAGCCAACTTATCTATATATAACTGTGAAACAGGTGTCAAGCTTTTTCTAGTAAATATTTTAGGCTTAGTGGCCAAAGTGTTTCTGGTTCTGTTACAAATATGAAATTCTGATGTTGTAGCACTAAAGTAGCCACAGATAATCTGCAAATGAACAATTATGGTAATTTTCCAATAAGACTTTGCATCAAAATTTTAATTTTATTTCACAGGTCACAAAATATTCTTGTAAGAATATAGAAACCATTCTTAGCTCATGAGCCATACAAAACAGTACCAGACTTGGCCCATGGGCTGTAATTCACCAAGCCCTGATGCAGAATCGTTACCTAAAGATTCTAGTGAACACACACGTAAAACTTAAATGCTGACATACACTAATACAATAGAATAGAGCTCTCAAAACTGAATTTTGAGATGGCCTGTGACATTTGATAGGCCAAAAAGTCGATGTTAAAAGTCAACATAAAGTGCTAAATTATAGATGACAGACATATAAACTTCAGTTAAATACCTACAATAACATCACAGATTGTTTATTAATCTATTTCTGTAAAGTTCAATAATAACCCATAAAAATGGCAGCTCTTATCTTGAAAGTCCATTCTCTAAGTGCTCATTTATGCCTCGAGTTACACGTCCACAGAATATACAAGTACATAAAACAGTTTCTGTCAAGGAGCTCACAGCCAGCATAACCAAGGAGAAAAACTTAAGTAAAACAACTAGAGAACAGTACAGAAGTGTTCAAAGTGAAGATACTCCGTAACAGAATTGGCAAACAATAGCATTTATGGCCTAATTTTATAAGGCTTGCAAGCTAAAAATGTTTTGTTTTGTTTTACACTGTTCAAGGTACTTAAAGTGTGTCAAGGATCCCCAAACCATGCCCAAATTCAGTGATTTGCTAGGAGGACTCAATATATAGTTGTACTGCCAGCTACAATTTATCACAACAAAAGGATACAAAGCAAAAATGCATGAGGTGAAGTCCAAAATAAACCAGGTGCAAACATACAAGGGTCTTCTCCCAGTGGAGTCACACAAAATACACTTAATTCTTCCAACAACAAACTGTGACAACACATGTGAAATGCTGGCTACCAAGAAGCTCCCTAGAGACTCAGTGCCCTCTCCCAAGCTTTCCACGGGGGCTGATGACATAAGCACCTTCTGCGTAGCACATACCAGGATTCCAGACTCCCAGAATGACAGCAAATATTCAGCATGAACTATACTATGTGTACAAAGCGTTTACGTAGGCACAGTGGACCACTCTTAACAGTTCTGGGAACAGTGAGAAATCCAAGTTCCCACATGCCAGCAAGAGTGAAACCTTGCAAGAAGGCCTTCCTAAGGATAGAGTCTCAGGCATGCTGTGATCATTATTTTGCACAAATGAGCAAGTGTATAAACAAATATACAGGATATTCAACAAAGACAGTATGTGGCTCACAAAACCAAAAATATTTGCTATCTGGCACATTACAGAAAAAGTTTGCTGATCTCTTGACTATATTCCTAGTATAAAGTTTTAAAGGAGGCAAAATAATAGCATGTGCTGAAGGTGGTGGAGAAAGCTTTAAAAATAGAGCTTAGGGTAACATAGTAATATATCAAATGGTACAGGGCTTTGCAGTTTATAGAACAGTATTGTGGAGGTGCCTGGGTGGCTCAGTCAGTTGAGTGCCTGACTCTTGGTTTCAGCTCAGGTCTTGATTCCCCAGGTGGTGGGATCGAGCCCTGCATTGGGCTCTGTGCTGAGCATGGAGCCTGCTTGGGATATTCCCTCCCTCCCTGCTCCTCTCCTCTCCCCAATTTGTGCTCATGCTTACTCGCTGTCTCTAAAATAAAACAAAAACACAAATACAGTATTCTGAAAACTCATCTCTGACCATCACAAAAATTGTATGAGCTCAGCATCACTGATATTATTCCATTTTTATAGAGTAAAAAAACAATGGTTATATGATTTTCCCCAAAGGTCACAGCCAGTTTATAAGAGAACTATAATTTATTTTTTTTTTTTTTTTTTTTTTTTTTTTTTTTTTTTTTTTTTTTTTTTTTTTTTTTTTTTATTTTTTTTTGAGAACTATAATTTAAATGAGGTCTTCTAGTTCTGAATCCAGATCTGGATTGTTCAGTACATCTAGGATTTTGAAAGACAGGGGGAAATAAGGGAAGCAATAAAGCCTGAATAGAAAAAACTATAATGTAAGGAAAAGCACATACTAAAAAAAGGAATTGTAACACTTAAAGGTGTACAAGCCATCAGTAGACTAAAAGCCATGTTGCTACACACCCTAGAAGACACCATGCAAAATCTCCAAATCTTCAGCAATTCATAGCTCAACCACCTTACCAGCTAAACATATTTGTTTCTCCTAATTGTACATACCTTTTCTATTCTTCAGCTTTATAGGAAATAGCCGTCTGCCTTGTGTATAGATCAATAATCTTCCTAAAAGGCACAGTGAGTGAATGAAATAAATATATTGTAATTCTTGTCCTGAGTAGTAGAAGGTTTTCTGTTTGTTCCCTTAAAAGAGAAGCAAACAAATACATTTATTTTAATGTATTTTTTAGATAGTACCTATCTTCATTCCCTTCTGAACATTAAACAGGGTTGCAGTCTATAATGAAGACTCTGATGGTATAAAAAAAAAAAAGTTAATTATCTTTCCTAAGATCCTATAACACCTAAATCTCTGGGGAAAAGCATTCATCACAAATTTAAGCTCATGAAAGTGTAACATGCATACAGTGTTCATTCCAAAATAGCATAGGATTGTCAGAGTTATCACCTGTTATCAAGAGGAACTTCAAAAATAAGAAAGGGAGAAAGTCATTAGAAAATATCACTGTTTAAATTCTACCAATTAAAAGTTAATACTATGAAGACTATTTATAACCATGTTAGTAAATAAAATTAGAATCTGTAAAATATATACACCTAAAATATATCATTCATTCATTCATCCATCCACACATTCAAGATCTCCTCAGTATCTGTTTTATATAAGACCTCGAACTATCTGATGTCAAAGAACAGTAAGAAACATGAAACTGGGCTTCCAATTCAGAGTACGGCAAATAGTCTAGTATGACCAGAGCTTGAGGAGGACAAATGGCAGAGACAAGAGGCCAGCTGGTAGCAGGGGCAGATCACAGAGGACTAAGCTGCAGAAGGAATATGGGTTTTATTATAGAGGCAACTGAAATGATATTAAAGGGTTGTAAGCATGAAAGTAATCAAACACGCATGTGAAAAACTAACCCTGATGATAGCATAAAAGATAGATGGAAGAAGGTAAAGGCGTGAAATAAAACTAAAAACATCATGAGCAAAAGCATCAACAACAAAAATGGAGAAGAACAGAAAGATAAATGTATAGAAAATTAAATCAATAGGCAGGCCTTAGACAGAACTACATGTGGACTGTGAAATAACAACAAAATCCTCAAGTTACTAACTCAACATCTGTGTAGACAGTGAATTTTTATTCTATTTAAGTAATTCTAAAGGGGAAAAGAGGGAGAAACCAGTAAAGATACAGAAGAAAGTGATTTTAGTCCTTGACATTTTAACATTAAAGTGCCCATGGAGCACCCAGAGATAGTCTAAGTATGATATAAGCGTATGAATTTGAAATTCAGAAAAGTGGTGGACTGAAATATCAGGGTCATCATATACATATGTAGTACTTGAAACCATGATCCCCCAAGAGAGAACAGGTAGACTAAGAGGAGGAAAACAAGAGCAAAGGGCGAGTGCTCAGAGCGCCTGGGTGGCTCAGTTGGTTAAGCGTCCGACTTTGGCTCAAGTCATGAACTCAAGGTTCGTGGATTCGAGCCCCATGTTGGGCTCTGCGCTGACAGCTCAGAGCCTGGAGCCTGCTTTGGATTCTGTCTCCCTCTCTCTCTGTTCCTCCCTCACTCTCTCTCAAAAGTGAATAAACATTAAAAAAAAAAAAAAAAAAAGCAAAGAGCAAAACCCTTGTGGGTACAAACATACCAAAAGAAAAGAGGCTTTCCAGTGAAATTATCATTCCTCACAACGATGAGAAAATATAAGAAAGAATGGTTGAAAAGTAAATAGGAGGTAAAGAAATGGGGCCTGGATATATTTAGGATACTTAGAAGAGTTTTCTCTGCAGGGAAGCAGGGAAGTAAGATACAGGTGAACTGGTTCAGGTTTCTATTTGAAAGATACATAAGCAGGTTCAGAGCATGCAGGGGAAGGTACCAACAAAAAGGGAGACACAATAACAAGCGAAGCAATGTCCCCTTTCTAAAACAGGAACAAAACCCCAAAGAACATCAGAGAGGAACAAAATCAAGAACAAAGATCAATCTGGAAAAGAATACTTCTTCAGTGCAGCCCAAAGAAAGGGAATATTGGTAAGGACATATAAACATGCATTGTATGCTTAGAAGAAGGACATCTGGGGAATTCATCTCTGTAAAGTTCTGCTTTTCTTAGTGAAGTGGGATGCAAGGTCTCCTCTTGAGAGAAAAGTAGGCCAGAGCAGAGCAGGGCCCATGCTAAAACTGGCGAAAGCTTGCAATAACTATTATGGACACTGTAGAAAGAAAATCTAAGAGGATGCAATAAACATAGTAGCTATGGTTAGAAAAGTATGTATGTGCACTAATTATATCACTAATGCTGTCTGCTCAATTTCCTGAAGACCAAAGAAGATGAAAGACAGAACTGATCTAAAGACAAGCAACTGCAAACAAGAAACTCAGAGAAAGAGCAAGGATTTTGAAAGAAATGGTGGGGGCGGGCGGGACATGAAGCATCCCAGGTCTTCACTAGATAGGGAAGAGAGTAAATTCATGATGTCCTGGTAGATAGTAGAGAGAGAAAAAAAAAAAAAAAGCCCTAGAGTATTTTAATACCAAGAAATTTTTTAAATACATAAATTTAAAAGGAGAGAGGTTTATAGAAACTTATCTTTTTCTTTCTCTTGAAGAATAAATTCTAGCTCCTGTACTTCCTCCTCTAGTACAAAATGCTAGTTTTGAAACCCACTAATTACAGGTCTTTGACCATTTTTTCTTGCTTGAGTTATAGAATTTACCTGAAGATAAAAAAATAAGATCTTCATATTCTCAGAGTACTATCTGCTTAGAGAAGCGACATAAGAGAATGATAAAAGATTAACAGAAGTGTATAGACATTGGTATGCAGAAAAATCTGACTATAAAAGAATATTCACTTTATTCCTGAGATGAGATTCAATAGAGCAATTAAGGCCAGATTATGAAACATCTAGGGTATTTTAACTTTTTAAATTATTTTTATTTTTGTAATTTACATCCAAATTAGTTAGCATTTAGTGCAACAATGATTTCAGGAGTAGATTCCTTAATGCCTCTTACCCATTTAGCCCATCCCCCCCTCCCACAACCCCTCCAGTAACCCTCTGTTCTCCATATTTAAGAGTCTCTTATGTTTTGTCCCCTTCCCAGTTTTTCTATTATTTTTGCTTCCCTTCCTTTATGTTCATCTGTTCTGTGTCTTAAAGTCCTCCTATGAGTGAAGTCTTATAATGTTGGTCTTTCTCTAATTTTGCTTAGCATAATACACATCTAGGGTATTTTATAGCTCGGACAGAGGATAAGCAGAGAGGAATCACAGGGTGGGTTATCTAATAATAACAGTATTTTACAGAAATGTTCCTCCTCCTAAAATGCATAAGGACAAATAAATTACTACTATACCAGAGGAAAGAATAAGCAGTATATTATTGCAGTGTAACAGACTAGGACATATATATACTCTAGTATAAGTTGAAGAACTTCAGATGTAAGAACATCGATAACAGCTCCACATTGGAAATTAAAATTATCATTGTGATGTAGTTTTTAAATTTGTGAAAATATTTTATATTAGCAGAAGTGGTCTAATTTACTATGCTACTAACCATTAAAAATAAGTTACTAAGCTACTAAGCTAAGAGGTCATTTTTAAAAGTATGTAACAGAAAAAAACAATACTTACCACAATGCTTTGAATGACCCAAAATCTCATCGATTTGCATGGCCTCACACAACTCAAAGTACTGAACACACTGCTGAACTGCTGTAGTTATCTAATAAAATAATAACTTATTAATTCTAGAAATTTGTAGCCCCCAATTTCAAGTAGTAAAAAAAAAGTTAATCAAGGTTATAAAAATATGCTGAGAAAAATATTTAACAAAAGTATTTAAAATAATACTTTTCCAGTCCACAGAAGCTCAACTTCCCCACTTACATTTTAAGTATGGCATCATTCCGGAAAACACCAAAAATACTTGAAGACCAACAATATTGCTATAATGTCAGTGTAAATGGACAAAGATAGATACATACTTCATAGTGAGAGATGCAAAAGTTCTGTGACCATGACTTTAAGAACACTCTTGCCAATACCCCTTACAGGTATTGCCTTCGAGACTTGTCTTCCTATCACACCAGCAAAATATGAACTAGATCAAGCCTTCACTTCCATCTGGGATACCAGCACTGATGAAAACTGATAAAGAAAAATCTTATAATTCAAAGAACAATGACAACAGAAAATGATTTCCAGCCTGTACTGTACCCAGTCATTCTCCTAGGAGTCTCCATTCTACCTCCTTCTCCCATTCTCCCCACATAAACTTTTTCAAATCCCCTCCCCTTTCCCCTGGATGTACCCACTTCCAGTACATGTCCTCTTATTCTAGTTCTCAAAATGGAGGCCACCATGAGATAAGGAGTAATAATTGTTACACTGGCAATAAAGAGATTGTTGATGACCCTGAAAAGATCAGTTTCATGAGAGTTTGGGGAATAAGCCAACCTGTAATGGAAAAAAAAAAAAAGAAAAAGAAAAAAGAACGAACAAAGTAGAGGCAGTTAGTATAACTTTCATTTTCAGGAAGGCTGGCTGTAAAGAAGGAATAAAAAAAATACAGCAACCTTTGGTGTACAAATTAGAGTCAACACTGAATTCTTTTTCAAGTTAGAAGGGTATGATCATGCTTAGATGTTATTGGAAGAAGCCAGCAGAGAAGAAGAGTTTGACTATACAGGAGAGACAGAGGAGAGTGGATAGAAAAAAAGTATCTAAGAGACAAGCAGACAGAACCTAAGGGGAAGGAAGGACTGACTTTTCAATGGGAAAAAAGATGAAGATTGTGTAGACAGAGGCAAGTTCATAGTTGTGGTGTCAATGAATTGATGGATTTCCCAGTCTCATTTGTATGGCCTCAGTTTTATGCAGAAAGGAGTTAATATGGCAGGACTTCCATTGTAAGAAACGCCTGCTTGCAAAGTTGGACCCTGACTCCATCCGGGAGGTTATCTCAAGAGGAAATTCCAAGAACTGATAAGAAGGGCTCTCTGTACCTAAATAGCGTGTACAAACAATGAGATTTATGCTCAACACCTGCTTTCCTTCTGGGAGTCTGAGATCCTGGTGTATGCTAGGCAAAAGATACCTACATGATCAATCCCCAATTTAAAAAAAAGGGGTTGGGGGCAGAGTCTTTAATGAGTGTCTCTGGAGGACATTTCACATGAGCTATTATAATGATGCTGGATGAATTAAGTGGAGTCACATCAGGACTCCACTGTGGGGGACAGAGGAAGAACTCTTGGAAGCTTAAGGTTGGTATCCTCCAGACTTCACCCAAAGCTCCTTTTCCCTATGTCAATTTCTTTGCATACTTTTTCTGTTACAATCATAGCTGAGAGTACAACTATACGTTGAGTCCTACTAGTCCTCCAGCAAATCATCAAATCTGAGGGGTGGTCTTGTGGACCTCCTCCGATATCTATCTGTCTTATCTAAATCAAACTTTAGAGATCCAGATCAAAATGAAACTCCTCTTGAAAATCTCGATCTCAAACTTGTATAAAATCTGAAGTTTTACCTTTCCCCAAATTCTTCCTATTTTCCTCCTCCTGTGTTACTTCTCTCAATGAATGATATTAATCACTCAATGAAGTCCTTACCCATCCCCTATTTTAAAAACCAAGTCCTCTAAACCCTATATTCTAAAAATAACAGTACTTGGGGTGCCTGGTGGCTCAGTCAGTTAAGCATCTGACTCTTGATTTCAGCTCGGGTCACGAACTCATGGTTCCTGAGTTTGAGCCCTGCATCAGGCTCTGGGCTCACAGCATGTAGCTTGCTTGGGATTCTTTTGTCTCCCTCTTTCTGCCCCTCTTTCTCCTCTTCCTGCCCCTCTTCCTCCCCTCCTCCTCCTCCTCCTTCTTCTCCCTCTCTCTCAAAAATAAATGTAAAAAAAAATAAAAAATAAAAATAAAAACAATAGTACTCCCGAGTCCATATATTTAACCCAATTCATGCTGCCACAGCGTAAACTCATATTTCGTTCATCTTTTGCTTGGATGAATCCTCTTCGTCTTTTTGCTTCAACATTTCTCTATCTTCATCTAGCACCTTCAACCCATTTTCAAAATTTTCCAAAGCCCTAATATAATGTCACTTGAGTACTTAACCTATCAGTGGCTCTAATATAAAAGCCAATCTCCTAAATTTGACATATTATATAGAAAAACTAAGATCAGACATTAGTTTCATTCTTCTTGTATACCTCCATCCCAGCCATACACACATGCACAAACACAGAAATACATCTACCTCTGTAAAACTCAGTCACCAAAAGTCAATTCAACATATGACCAATGACCAATTAATCAAAAGCAAATGCACTCAAAACCTCACTAAATCAACACAGTTAAAACTGAAACACTGTGAACAGACATTTACAACAAACTCAACACTTGTACTTCTAAAAGGAAAACGACTAAAGATTTCCCTTAAATAGGTCTATTTTTATGGAATTACACACTGCCCCAGGCATGAGTACATCAACTGTCACAGTCCCAATTTAAAATATCCAAGTGATTTTCAAACAACATCATTACTTAAATTAGCATTCAGAGAACCAACTTTCAGGAAATTTCCTGTGTCCAGTCACAAATGTAGAGTTTCTAAATGTGCTTTGTGTTTTCCTAAGCCTAAGCCTTTAAACATGCTATTCTGCCACCCTGACATATTTTCCTGCCACAACCTTAACCACACCCCTTCTCTTTTCCAGGATAACACCTACTCATTAAGAACAAAAAATTTCCACATAATCCTAGTAAAAAGCTGATTGTTCCACAAATAATAAACATCATAACCGAATTTAAATTTATTTAGCAAATTGATGACAAATCTATATAACCCATGATAACAGGTATCTGGAATAACAAGTTTAAAACCTTGTAAATCAATACATGTCAACACATCTGAAAAATATATTTCTGAAATCCAACCCATCAGTGTTAGCCCCTTGCTGCTGCAAAATGAGCTAACAACAAGAGACACACTCCAGGAAATATGTTTGGTCAGCAACAATCTCACCTGAGCTGCCATCCTTCCACTGCTGGTATGAACTACTCTCACCTCTGAAAGTCTACCAATTTCTGAGTTCTAAGCTTTCCCCAAAACCTTGGAAGATTAAAAATCTGCTTTGCCTAACTTAAGCAATAAATTTGCCTTTATGTGTTATTTCAGATATTCAACAGCAGTCTTAATCCTTGACAATTCTAGTGCTTCCATGCAGATTACTTTGAAGGCTCACACTTGGTGGCATTCTACGGGATCCCCAGATAAAGAATGTTCACTGGGCCCCCCTGAGTCCCAAACTCTGATAGTCCTTCGGATCTATGACTATGTGAGTTGGCCTCAACAATCTGAGCTCAGACTTGCTTCATTGAGTATTCATTGCTAAATTATTTGTTATCTTAAGATTTATGACATAAGTCTTTATAGAAAGTAGCTTTTGTTTTGCAGGGGCACCATTTGGTAAATATTTATGCTATTAACCAGCTTATTCTTCTGTGTTTGCTTTACTTTTGTTATTTACACAGTCTTAACTCCTGTTTTATTTTGGTTTATCTTGCATCTACTGAATATACAAAAGACTGTTCCATAGAGAACAGAAGGAGGGATCGTCTAAGAAGTCTCTAATCCAGTGAATCAAATCCAAGCCAGCCCTGAGATTCCTGGCTACCAGCAACAAATTCATGCAAAAGCAACTAGTCAAATTGCCTTGGGAATCCTACAAAAATTTCAAAAGGATACTCCAACTTGTCAATTCATGTAACTGGTCGTATATAGTTCTCACTAGCTTCTGCTTTATCAGAACCTGAGACATCATTCATAAACTTTTGGGCAAAAGTGCGTTTCATGTTTGTCTAAATTTAAGCTTCAACCTTCTTCTGATAGAACTCCTACTTCCTGGATGAACTTATTCTTACAATCCTAGCTCTTACACAGACCCTGGTAAACAGGAACAACCAAAAATGACTTACAACAATACCAGTATGAGTAATTTCTGACATGACAAAATAAATACTTCAGAGCAGCTCTAAAATAGGAGACAAAAGAGCAAAACCTAGTCAGTTTCCTCAGCTGATAACTCAAAATATAATCTCCAAGATTGTCTTTCAAAAAGGCTGTTTAGTTCGCTTCCATTCAAACCTTCAGAAATCCATCCTCCCAGCGCCCATCCCTACCCAGCTTTATCTTCACCACCCACTTCTGTTCCTTCCCCTTTCCCCTTGCTTCTTAAATATTGCACCTTATATTATTTAGAAAAAGGTAACAAAACAAAAAAAGGCACATGCTCAGGAGAGAAAAAAAACCACATTATATAATATCCCCTTTAAACTGAAGCAGAAAGCAAATTTATAGTAGGAAAAATTTATACAAAATTTATACAAATTTATAGTAGAAAATTTAAACAATAGTCTTGTTTAAGAGTCTAGTTTAAGAGTCAAATTGAGGGTATAAAGAATGATTTTCCTAAACTCCAGGAAAACAAAAATTTGCTGTAAAATTCAGGATTTTATTTGATACTTATTCTCCTGTACTATCAAACACATACCAGCCTTAATTGCTAAACCGTAAGATGGATGGAGGTTAAAAAACAGGGTACATGAAAAACCCAGGGAGAATTTAAATAACCTGTCAATATTTTTTAAATGACTTTGAGAGAGCAAGAAAAAAAGGAAATACACTACATAAAGCCATTTCAAAAGCTATGCACTTCAGGGTAGACTGGACAAAGAATGGAGATATTAAAAATAAAAGATTAAATATTTGTGCTGATAGACCAAATGTTTTTCAACCAGTTCGTGACTTTACAATGCTATGGAAATAAAGTTCTCAATTTTCTCAGCTCTTAAAAATCAACAGCACATACATAAATTGTGTTGTCTAACACTACCTACTAAAAATTTCATAAACGTCATAAATATAGAATAGAATAGAATTACATCAAGTGGCCTCTAACCATGTATTAGTTCTAAATTACAATTAAAGTTAAAAATACCCAGCTTCTCGGGTTCCTGAAATTCATTCCAAGTTTTCAGTAGCCACATATATCTAGTGGCCACTCTACTGGACAATGCAGACATTCCACTGTTGTAGAAAATGTTATCAGAGTGCACAGAGGAGAAGCTAAAGGAAATGCTTTAGCAGGACATCGTGCTAAGCAGGCTGCTGTGACTCAAGTCCTCACGCAAGGAACTCTTACAAAGCAAAAGGAAAATGCACGGAGTCGTCTTAAAGTTTCCACTGTAGACGTCCAAAATCTGATCCTCAATTCTGAAAAGTGGAGATAGATCTTGTATCCATTTTCCCCAAGGTTTCCTTTCAAAAGTTGGGCCATGTTTGCTTGAAAACTTACACACACACACACACACACACACACACACACACACACACACACAGAGTCTTCACATATTTTGTAGGTTCAGGAAAGTTTTTAAGAGAATATGAGGTTTAAGTCAGAATCTCATGCAAGTTTGACCAATTATGTACAAAAAAATACTTGATTCAGTTGATAAAATACGTAAGTTGTTTATAATAAAGTAACTATTTTCAGACTAAAAATTGATTATGGTATAATTAACTCTTAAAAATCTGTTCCTTATTTGAAAAGTTAATCTATAAGAAACATTTGCAATATTTCCACCCAAGCCCCTATGACAGCAACAATGAGTTATAGGGAGAGGGGAATCATTGGGTTTTCCCCCTTTCTCTATTTTAACAAGATCAGTTTGTGTTCATATGGCAACAAATTTTCATTTAAAATGGGAATGGGAGGGAAAGGAGACATGGAAGGATTTTATTTCAAGTCATTAAACATTTTTAAACACTTATTACCTCTACAAATAAACTCATTCTATTCAACATCCCTCTCTCTCCCTTCTGAAACTCAATTCTCTTGATTCTCAAACACAAAACAAGTTTTCTTTTTTCATTTTATGCTCTACTGCATTCACCCAGAAATTCACAACTCTAGGGCCATTTCCCTTCTCCTGACTTTTAAACTCAAGATTCTAACTACATAAATCATATTTATCATTTCAAAGTCCTATCAGAACTTTTAAAGTATTTTAATAAATTTCACATTTCATGTTTGTTATTAGACTTGATTTATTTTCAAAGTCTTTACACATTATTCCACTGATAGCAATAAATGTGGAACATTTTGCTAATATATTTTATAGTTTTAGTTTTTATTTGATGTAACTTGAATTAATTTTTGTAAATGCAAAAGCACATATCATTCTGAGTTTTTAATACAACTTTCAGTCCAGAGCATGGGTATATTTTATAGAACTAACTCCCCTACAAATACCTGACCTGAATTAAGTCACAATACTTAAAAACAGGGCTTGTTTCAACTTGTTTGTTAGCATCCCAATTTACGACGTAATTATGTATTTCCTAAACGTTATCCTATTACTCAATTCTATACTTTTATCCTTTTATATGTCACAAAATGGTAGTTTAAAAAAAATCACATAAAAGAGGAATTGTTTCAGGGTGCCAGGGTGGCTCATTTGGCTAAGCATCCAACTCTTGATTTCAGCTCAGGTCATGATCTCATGGTTCATGGGTTCAAGCCCCGTGTCACGCTATGCACGGACAGCATGGAGCCTACTTGGGATTCTCTCTCCCTCTGTCTCTGGCCCTCCCCAGCTCACACACACATGCATGCTCTCTCTCGTAATAAACAAACATTTATAAAAAGGGGGGGGGGAATTATTTCATCATCCAAGATAAATTATCAATCAACTTTGCACATTCAACTTATTACATCATGTATCTTTTTGTGATATTATTTCTCAACATAAGGACAGAAACAGACTTACCAAAGATTTATATTTCTTTTCAAGAAGTCTTAGTACTGCAGTTCTGCTATAATATGCATGCTAAAATTAGGAGAAAATGATATTTAATATTCAAGCTATACCACTCAAAGTCTATTTTTCCCGAATCATTTCCAATAACATGAATTACCAATAACAGTTTGAAATTATTGTAATCAGTACAAAATAGGTTTTTCTATGTACAATGGATTATGAGCATAGCAATTACCAGAATGCAAATGGTATGAAAAGAACCGTAGATCATTTATTGACAGACAAGTAGAAAAATATTCTATCCCTCAACTGCAACCAGTTTCCATGTTGTTACTTTAAAACCATTATCAACACACATATCAGAAGGAAAGGAAAGACACAAAAGCCGGGGTGAGGAAGATCACAACCGTCACAATGAAGGATACTGTACTATCTACATATGCAGAAATTTGCCAAGCTTGAAATGCTCTGAAGCAATAGTATCTTAATCACTTTCTGCCAATCATGTATTTTAAATAATTCAAAGTGCCAAAAAAATAATTATCTCCTTAGAACTAAATATAGTGGGATTAAAACATACTTTTTATGCTTTCCACAAAGGGGAGAATATAAATGTTATTAAATTATATTAAATATAAATTATATTTTTTAAAATTTATTGTCAAGTTAGCTAACATACAGTGTATACAGTGTGCTCTCGGTTTTGGGGTTAGATTCCTGTGATTCATCCCTTACGTACAACACCCAGTGCTCATCCCAACAAGTGTCCTCATCAATGCCCATCACCCATTTCCTCCCTCCCCCACCCCCGCAATCAACCCTCAGTGTGTTCTCCACATTCAAGAGTCTCTTATGATTCGCCTCCCTCTCTGTTTGAAATTATTTTTTCCCCTTCCCTTCCCCCACTGTCTTCTGTTAAGTTTCTCAAGTTCCACATATGAGTGAAAACATATCTTTCTCTGACTGAATTATTTCACTTAGCTTAATACTATCCAGTTCCATCCACGTTGTTGCAAATGACAGGATTTCATTTTTTCTCATTGGCAAGTAGTATTCCATCATATATATAAACCAAATCTTCTCTATCCACTCATTAGTTGATGGACATTTGGGCTCTTTCCATAATTTGGCTATTGTTGAAAGCACTGCTATAAACATTGAGATACATGTGCCCCTATGAATCAGCACTCCTACTTTTGACTATGTTCTGAAAAGAAATCCTCATAGTGCATCCCTTACACCAGAGTCACTACACTACATTCCCAGGCCAAGTTCAGCTGCCACCTGATTTGGTACATAAAGTTTTATTGGAATAGTTACATCCATTCATTTATATATTGTCTAAGGATGCTTTGGGGTTACGACAGAATTGAATAGGTGCAGGGACAGTACAGTCCACAAAACCAAAAATTTATTGTCTGTCCCTTTAGAAAGTCTGCCAACCTCTGACTTAGATGAGTGTAGGATAATGTAATGAATTTTCATTAATACTAGAACACAGGAGCTAATTTATACATATATATATAATTTTCTGTTGGTTAGTGTTTCTGTGATCTGCTGCATACTCTTGAGAATCAAGTACTGACAATAAAATATGTTAAGTGAAAAAATGTATTAACAGAATAAGATTTGTTAAAGATCTAAACCAATAAATTTAAAAGTGTATATAATGTAACTACATAAACCAAAATCTTAATAGTTATCCCTGTGTTGTAGAAATTCAAATGTGCTTTTACATATTTTGTATACTTTCTATAATAAAGGCATAATTTGATAACTAAAAATTAAGAATAAAGTGTCAGATGTAAGGCATAAAGGGTTCAAGTTAATTAAATTGAGCAAACACTTATCAAACACATACTTTATAAGCCAGGTAAGGGCTAAGCTCTGTACAGAACTGTTTGGGTTAATTGCATTATACAGTTTACGTAACAAAAGGCAAAACAAAAATAAAAATAAGCCATCAACTAAGTAATGTGCCAACTGTATGGAGCAGTAAATAAACACGTTGCTCCTCGTCATGGCAAGTCACGGCCCCATCCCTTTCCCTTCGCCACAGCAACAAATACACAATGCCTGGCAGACAAACTTAGAGGGACAAAGATGTGAGAATAATAAGCCAACACTGCTGCAGCTACTGCCAGACAGACAACTCATCCCACAGCAGATGAGGGAGGTAACAGTATAAGGATCTTTAAAATTAATTTCAGTTCCAGAATAGTGATGAGCTCCACTGGAAATCACCAGCATTCAGGCATTAAACATTCTCCAAATTGCAGGTTCAGGAGGAAGCAAATGAAAGGAGGTATGTCTGAAAACATCCTAAGTCAGAGAAAAATGAACAGTGAACTCATGTTCTACCACATCTGCTTAAAAAATCTGAAGTTTTTAGACTAAAAAAAGAACAGATTTTAGATAGGTCATTCAGGTTAAGAGAGTCAAATGAATTATCATTTAAAATCCTATTTTGGCTCTGTCACTTACTAGGTAAACAATCTTAAATTACTTCTCCATATTTCAGTTGCCACATCTGTAAAATGGGGTAGTAATACCATATATCTCACAAATTGTTATAAGAGTTAAGTGAGTTAACATGTAAAAGTGATTAGAACTCTTATAAATAGTAAAAACTGGAATGTTAGTTATTCTTTGACACAATACAGCAATGCACTAAAAAGTAGACAAATATTCCATTTTTCCTTACCATCCACTTTTTGAACCACACAGCTTTGGTATCAACCAATGCAAAAAAGTAGATTGGATCCAAAATCTTTTGTGAGACAAGATGGCCCTGATCATGTTTAACGGATAATAAGGACAAAGTATTCTCCACAATCTCTTCCATATACCTTAAAGTTTGGGAATAAAACAGTTTTAGAAAAAAAAACAAATGCTATTACACACACACACACACACACACACAGAGTGATATATTTTCTATTTATGGAATAATAAAGTGAAAATTTTTAGAAAAAAACTTTTTTTTATGTTTTAGCAAATGGGATTCACACCCAATTTTTTTCCTATTTTTTAAAAAAACTTTTGTTTCTACTTCAACACTGGCTCTCCAAACTTAACTTTCCTTTTTAGACTCAACAGTTGGCTCTTACAACCTTATTAAAACTTTTAGAACTGAAAGGAAAAACTTTAAAGAACACTTAAGGAACTTGTCCAAAGTAGCAAAGACTAATAAAAGAATTGGAAACAAGGCTACAACATCCTCATTCAGATTTTTTGTAATAAATAAATGGTATAAAATGGTATTTGCAAAGAGCCATTCATATAGCTAAGCACAAAATATGAAAAGCTAAACTTTATTAATCCCTCCCCAATTACATAAGTCAATTAAGACTGTCTCTATTCTTTCTCCTTGTAATGCACAAGGGACAGTAACACTCCTATATTTCATATTGACATAAATTAGGGGACTTACTTTTCTGGGTGACGAATCCAGAAAGATGGAGCCTCTTTCTGATATTCATTTAGAAGACGAACCTGAAAAGCAGTATGTAACAATTCTCAAAAAATTAGAATTCTTAAATACAGAACTATTTAAACAAAAATAAAAGCATAGAGCAAGTGAATACCTTTTTAACTAAGCAGATCACATTAGGATTACTTATATCTATACCAGTTGACAGAGTAGGAATATGATTTTCTCTAGAAAGAAAGTATAACTTCAAATATTTAGCTGAAAAGAAAAATTAAAAACATATTACATCATTCATTTGCAGTGTTTTCTGAAAAGTTATTTCCTATCCACTTTATTAAGCACAAATAAAGGAAAATGCCTTTTAAAAAATCTAATAAACATACCTAAGCTTGTATAAATTTCCTTGGTCATATGTAATGGTGAAAGAGTAAATGTCTGTGCATAGAATTTTAAAATCCGGTCCTATGAAAATGAAAAGATTTGTATCAGAGATTCTTATAATAAAATGGAGATGAAAAAAACACTTTTCACACAGCGAAAAACTTAGAAAATAAATAGAAACCTTTCAGAAATCTGAGTAGGAATGTACCTTTAAGTAAAAGCACAATCTTATGTTGGTCAGTAAAAAGTAAAATACATGGATGGAGAAAGAGTGAGGTTTGATAGAGTAAGGTACAATGTTCAGACAACAGCAGGAGTACTAAGTGGTTAAAAACAACAACAACAACAATCACAACAACAACCATTCTCCTTTCCAAATCCAACATTTGCTGGTTTTTTTTTTTTTTTTAATTGCTTACATGGGTAGTTTCAGTAATTAGACATTTAGGACTCCGATATTTTGCCTACCTCCAAGAAAAGTATTATTTAACACATTTTCAAAATATACATTATTAGAACTCAAAGTAGAAATTATCACAAGGTAAATGAATTAGTATATGTGCTGCCGAAGCGAGCACAAGGTAAATGAATTAAATGATAATAGATGTAGCTAGAAAAGTACTTGGCCCTAGTAGGTACTTTAAAATAATAGCTATCATTTTAATTATGCCAACTTTAATACTGTGATGAAATTAATCCTAATAGTGAAATTCAATGTCCCATTATATAAAAACATAAAATTTCCTCAAGTGTTCTAGTCTGGGGGTGGGAGGGATGGAGGGGAATGACCTTGCCTATATCAAATGTTAGGATAATTTACTTTTTTAAAAAAAAGGTTACCCAAATGACTAAAGTCTCTAATAACCCAAAGGAATTCCTACTGAACACAGGATATTAAATACTTTGGAAAGTTTATTTTTATAATTGCAGCAACTGATAAGTATCTGTCACACTTTTAAAACACTATAGGCTTCACTAAATTACATGGAAGAGTCCTTTAGAGTAGGAAATGAAGAAATAGAATCAAAGAATCCAATCAAGAGTTTGGATCAAGCATAAATTCAAAATGAAAAGAATGCCATGCCTTACTTTCTACTCCAAAATGACTGGTTCTATTACCATCTCCCCTCTATAACAACTTCTTCCAATATTAAGTATCGACAACACTCTTGTGAATAATCTGTAATAGCTAAACAAAACCACTTATATTGACCCATTAGGATATTCATGGTTTATAAAAATTATTATGTAATTTTTTAAATAATTAAAGGATATTTGCCTGACCACTATTCTTTGTTAAGAAAAAATACACAGAAATTAACAATTTCCTTTTAGAAAGCCTTGAAATGTTAAAAGTGACCCTGAAAAGTCTTTTTCCCTTCCGAAGTTCTTGGATCATTGAGTTTTTACAGAAGTCTGCATCATCTAGTGTCAGTAAAGCTGAATTACATCTGGGTATTAGGTAATTGGAACACATTTTCCCCCCTTATAAAAATCAACAAACCACTTCTGTTTCCAAACCACTCCTGTTTACCAGTATAATTATATCTTCATTGATGGAAGAGTATGATTTTCAACAGATAAATGTATTGAGCTTTTTTTTTTTTTTTTAATAACTGCTTACTGTCCCACTCCTCTAGTAGAATGTAAGTTCTATGAAGGCGGAGACTAATGTCTTGGTCAGTGTGTTTCCAGCATCTAGATTAGAATGCTGCACATTGTTGGTAATCAATACGTATCTGTTGAACAGCTAGTACATTTTAACCCTCATGCTAATATCTTTAATTTTGTACAAAACACATAATTTTAAAGCAAAATTTTTCTTCACTGATACATCAATTAAGAAAAAGACCCTCTAAACCTACTTTGCATTTAAATGTGATATGGGATATAGCCGGATTTTTTAAGATTTTATTATTTTTTTAAGTAATCTCTACACCCAGTGTGGGCCTCGAACTTACCACCCCAAGATCAAGAGTTGCATGCTGTACTGACTTAGCCAGCCAGGTGCCCCTAGCAGAATTTTTTAAGTCACATTATCGATATTACCAATAGAACTATACTTTTTAATATGATCTTACTCATGTAATAGCATTTCTGAGAAGTTATAGGAGAATCATTTTTTACATTCAATCATTTCTCTGACTTCATAATTTTATAATTTTTGGAATTTTCTATATTTGCTTTATGATTCATCTCAATTGTCTTCTAAACTTGGCTTTAGTTTTCTTTTCTTTTTAAGCAATTAAGCAATCTCTAAATAAACACTTAAATCCATAAGAAAAATGCTTATGATTCAGTTAGAATAAATTCTGATCATTTTAAATGCAAATTTTCATATGTCATCAATTCTTTCAAAAATGCTTTAAATAATCTTTTAAAATATTTTTCTTAACTCAAAAACAAGACACAAATTGGATATCCCTTTATAAGATAAAACAAAATGCACAAGGTACCTGTATTATTATTTGGCAGTGAAATGTGACAGTGATCATTCTAATCATAAAAGAGTTAAGTCAATGCTTTAAAGAAAATCTTCACAACTCAAAAGCTGGAATTGAAATTCTATAAGTATTAGAGCTACTATTAAAATAATAATTCCATTTGCTTACAGAATGGTGGGAAAACAAATTTTTAAAAGATCATTTCTACAGGGAGCACCCAGATAGGTGGCTTAGTCAGTTAAGCGCCTGACTTTGGCTCAGGTCATGATCTCTGTGATTTGTGAGTTCAGGCCCACATGGAACTGCCAGTGCAGAGGCTGCTTGGGATTCTCTCCCTCCCTCTCTCTCGCTGCACCTCTCCCACTTGCACACACTCGCACTCTTTCTCTCTCAATATAAATAAACTTTAAAAATGTATATGTTTCTATAAGCATTTCCTTACACTAAACACAGGATCAGGATCTGAAAGAGACATTGTCAGTTTTTCACAGAGAGTGGTCCAATTTTCACAATTCAGTACATCAGATGGAGGAGCTGAACATAACATTTGCAAGGCTTCATATCTCACCTATAATTTAAAAGACTTTTATTAATACCCAGCCACTGGAACACTACCAATACTCCAAATATTAAACATCGAAAAGCAGTCTTATCTAGATAATTGTTTTAAAGAGCCAACTACTGAAAATCAAAGGTTCTTTTACAAAACAATTTTGAGAACTGATTTTTTTAAACTAAGTGTTAAACAGAAAAAAAATAGGTTGTTAATTTTATATAAAGCAAAAATTAAAACATAACTGTGTGAGATTCTAGGTCCTATATCTAAGTGAATGAAGAATGGTGGCCGAATCTGAATCATCAGGGCAAGGTTTTCCAATGGCCTTGTTCCACAGACTTCCCTTACTAAAGTAGACACGCATAGGTGGTCCTATAATTTGGGGGCCTTAATTTAAAAATAGCCTAATATGCCCCTAGTGAAGCATCCCCATTCCAGAATATAGGAACAATTCTCACAAAACAATTTGGACTAGTTTTTGATGCTATACCACATTTTCCGACCTTCAAACCACTGAGATAGAAAGCAATGTGATGCAAAACTGAATTTCTGTATTGTCACAAAAAGCTTACTTCTTAGTCATTCTTCTCAAAAATGAATCAGAATTCCTTCAAAACAGTATGACCCAAAGGACAACAGTGGAAAATAGCCCTTCTCCAATCAGAAATGGAACATGGCTTCTGCCCCACCACTCTCCAATTAGTGAGTAATAACTCACTGATTCCAACCCATTCCTCAAAATCTGGTTCTTTCCCCTGCTGAAATAAGTGAAATCTAGTGGTTTAAAAAAGGGGAAGAGGGAGGGGCAGGAGGGAGCAGTAGGGGCCAAGCTTAGGAAACCAGACCCTTTAAATCAGGGTATCAAGTTTTACGTGAAAAAGACAGAATATACACGCACTTAAAAGTGTCTATATATTCATATGAAAGAACTCCTAAATACAACTGTATTTGTAATAGGGATTGGGGGACTTAGGAATGATTTCAGAAACTTTAATTTCTCCTTTTCAGTTAATTTTTAGGACAAAATCCCATTAAGAATTTACTACTAGGGGCACCTGGGTGACTCAGTCGGTTGAGCATCCGACTTCGGCTCAGGTCATGATCTCATGGTCTGTGAGTTCGAGCCCTGCGTCAGGCTCCGTGCTGACAGCTCAGAGCCTGGAGCCTGCTTTGGATTCTATGTCTCCCTCTCACTCTGCCCCTCCCCTGCTCATGTTCTGTCTCTCTCTCTCTGTCAAAAATACACAAACATTTAAAAAAAAATTTTTTAAAGAACTTACTACTAGCAGAAGCATAATAAATGTTTCTGAACAAGTATAAATTTCCAAGTAATCCACTTAAACTGAAGACAATAAGATGTTATAGAAAAGTCGAGACTCATTTCTAATATCTTTTGAAACATTTACTAGGAATCTAGAAAATAAACCAGAAGGTGAAATTCTAAAAATTATTATGTGATTAAAAAAAAAACATCAGTGGGAGTAAATCCTAACTATTCATTTAGTTTAATATGAAAAGTTGACTATTTTCTATTTCATACTGACTTAACAAAATAATACTTGATAAATAGTAATTTATATAGTCTTAAAATATAAACAGGCACAATTCAATAGAACTGCTTCTTTAAAATCCCTTTTCCGGGGCGCCTGGGTGGCTCAGTTGGTTGAGTGTCTGACTTCGGCTCAGGTCATGATCTCATGGTCCGTGGGTTTGAGCCCCATGTAGGGCTCTGTGCTGACAGCTCAGAGCCTAGAGCTTGCTTCCAATTCTGTCTCTCCCTCTCCCTGCCCCTCCCCCACTTTCAGTCTCCCTCTCTCTCTCAAAAACTAAACATTAAAATCCTTTTTCTAATCAATGAACACGTGTGAAAGTTGCTCACATTTTCTAGAAGTAGAAGGAACATTAAATGAAGATAGTTTTTCCTCAAAGAAATCACTAAAATATTACACACAAAGCAACAGTGAAAGAACAATTTGGGGGACAACCACTTATAACTTTATCCCTTCAAAACTGAAACTAGATGTAAAAATTTCCTCCTACAAACCATGAAAATTCTCTGAGAGCCTCCCTTACTCTGTGACCTCTTATTTCAAGACTGGAAAGTCTAGCAGGGTTATCAGTCTAGGAGCATCAAGATAATAAATGCCTATCTTCAAGAGAAACAGTCTAGCTGAGACTGAATATATTATATATATTATATATCTGACTAAACTTGATAGCTACCCTTTAAACTTACCTCTTTAGGTTGCCCAGGCTCCAACTGGTCTAAAATCAATTGTAATTTTCCTTGACAAAATTTGTAACTCTGTAACACAATTGACAAAACATTCATTTAGTAGACTTTTAGAAGTACTGCTATAAATTATTTTTTAATATAACTCCAAGCACAAAATGCATTCTGAGCAAGGAAAGGGGGTGATCTATTCTGACTTGGCAGAAAACTTGGAATTTGTTTCCCAAGGCATTTAAATGGGAACTGAATGTCTCAGGAGAACAGCGTACTACACATATCTGAAAATTATTATTTGCTGAGCAACTTCAATGTGTAGAACATAAGATTCAAAAGATGTAAAGCCAAGATATTTTGTGCCCAGAAATGTGAAATGAATTAAACAGTAAGACAAAACAAGAAGGCACTGCTAGTACCCTAGGCACAGCTACAATGCTACTTGAATATTTTGGTTCCTTTGCTTTCCTGTACTTTTCTTAAGCCTTTCTCCAGGCCTCCTTTTTGGTGAAAAATTCCTGAGGTAAAAGTCTCCATCTAGAAAAAAGTTTATAATAGACCATAAGCTATGTTGGAAAAGGAAAGGGTCTTTTTCTTGATGAAGGCAGTTTAAATATGACTAATACCTAAAATAATCATCTAAAAATAAAACTGCCATTAAAATAATAGCTGTCATTTATTATCTTTTATGTAACAAGCCCTATATGATATAAATTCACAATGACTGAAACAGGAGAAATATGAAAACCAAGGTTGAATAACTTTTCCAAGTCACAAAGTTATCAGAACTCAGATTCCCATCCACATTTTTGCTATCTATACTCTTTCTCTTCCAGTTAAGTACATCATGATGACTCAAATTTTTATCAGTTACTTCATCTCCAAAGTTATATATAATTATCCTTTCAACATTTCCACTTGAATGTCTAATAGGCATCTCAAACTTAACATGTCCAAGAGTATTTTATTCCAAACCTGCTCCTTCCTGAAACTTCTCCATCCTCCTAAATGACGTTACCCTCCATCCAGATTTTGTACTTAGATCAAAACTAGGAGTCGGGGCACCTGGGTGGTTCAGTGGGTTGAGCATCCGACTCTTGATTTCGGCTCAGGTCATGATCCCAGAGCCGTGGGATCATGCCCCGCATAGGGCTCTACACTTAGTGTGGAGCCTGCTGAAGATTCTCTCTCTTTCCCTCTGTCTCCCTCTGCCCCTCTCCCCAACTCATGTTCAGGCTCTTTCTATACAATTAAAAAAAAAATGTATGTTAAAAATAGGAATCAATCTTGGCTCTTCACTTTCTCACTTCCTATATCCAATATTATTAAGTTCCAAAAGATCATCCCCAAGTTTCACAAACCTTAACTCCAACTACCCCACACCACTTCCCTGCTAAAACCTTAAACCAAAGCACCATCGACTCTAGCCTAGACCACTTCAGTTCAACCTAACCAGTCTCCTTGCTTTGACTCATCCCATCCTACGCCACACCACCATCCATTCTCCAGCAAGTCAGATGGAGCTTTTCAAAGTTATAAATCAAATCCATTAATTTCCCTTACTTCAACCTCACAAAAAGACCTCTCACATTATTCAGAATATAGGGAACTTACTTACATGATCTGGGCCCCTGATTCTTTAATACACGGTCATACAATTCTTCCCTCTGCCAGTCAGGTTCAGTCTCACTGGCCTTTTTTCTCCATTTCTGGAAGATGCCATCCATGCTCACTTTAGCCTAAGAACCTTTGCCATTGCCATTCCTCCTGCTGGGCAACACTCTTCCTCCAGAATTCTTCATGTCTGCCCTATTATGGCTTAGAATTTGGTCTTTTTTCACTATAGCATCCCCAATACCTGAATCAGTGCCTCATAGGCCCTCAATATACATTAGTTTAATACATAAATGACTCCAAAGTGAGTCTTCCCACAATGCTACATGGTCCCTAACAATACAGGGTACATAACCACTTTATAAAAAAAAAAAAAAAAAAAAAAAAAAAAAAAAAAAAAACATAACAGACCAATACTTCATTTCTTAAAGAGTCTCAGGTTTTGCTGAGTTTTCTTCCTTTCTAAAAGTATATAGTTCAACTGTGAAGAACTCTGATACATGCTACTTTTTAAAAGCACTATATATTAAATCTTTAACTTTGAATTTTTGTATTACAATTAAAATACTAAAATTTATGAATAATGACCAATGACAAACATAAGTATATGAATGTAGCAGTCTTGAAATGAAAAAAACATAGAATATCTAAAATAGTATATATATAAGCGTAAGTGCTAATATGCATTTGTGATACATAATGCATATATGTACTTTCAGCAGTATATATACACATGTGTATAAGTGTCTAAAATGTATGTAACGTATATGTGTATATACATAATCATTCTACTCTATTGCTAGAAAAACTTCCCCCCCCCTTTACCTAGTCCTTTTGCCTCTCTTATAAACTTTATTTCTTCTGTCTACTTCCATCATGACTTTTACCAGATCATTATCTATGTCTAAAATGCTGTCCAGCTTACTAAAAAGAACTACAGTTTCAAGGACATGAATCTTAATTGGATAGATGAAGTTTCAAATCCCAGCTCAAACTAGTTATATGACTCTGGAGTCTTTAACCCCATCCTCATTTTTCACATCTACCTCCCAGCATCACTGTAAGAATTAAATGGGAAAATTGTAAAGTCTTTTGCTTTATTGTTATAAAATTTTTAACTGCAAAGTAAATTTCCTGTTTCTCAAGAAATTTTTTTTGAAAAATTTTTAATGTTTATTTATTTTTGAGAGACAGAGCACAAGCAGGGAAGGGGCAGAGAGAGTGGGAGACACAGAATCCAAAGCAGGCCCCAGGCCCTGAGCTGTCCACACAGAACCTAATGCAGGGCTCGAACCCACGAACTGTGAGATCGTGACCGAAGTCAGATGCTTAACCATGGAGTCCCCCAGGCGCCCCTCTCAGGAAATTTTCTACGAAAAAATATAAAATAACTGACTCTACCTACCAACTACCTATTCAAGATCAAAAAATCTAAAGATATATTTCATTGATTTCCATAGATTCCCATTCTAATCTAGTCTCTTTTTCAATATAGAGGCATGCTCTACAACAACCCTGATAAATGGGGAGCCAGACATTTTTTGAACATTCTCAACTACAGTGAGTTCATATTTGGGGAAGCAACCAATATTATGTCAAAGTAGCAGTCAAAAAGGGTAATTACATAGACCTTAACAAAATTCATTTACTTAAATGCTCTCCATGACAAAGCCTTTGTTTCTAATCTTCTGTGCAATACTCCAAACAAGCAACCCTTACTCTCTGAAAATGGTTTTGCCTTTTATTTAACAAAATGATTAAGGCTAATCAACATGATGATCCCTCAAATTACCTCCTCTTTCCCCCAATATTATTCTGTGGTGAGTTAGCCAAATTAAAAGATCTTTTCTTAGCCCTCATGATAGACTTCCCTCTAGCCTTCATTGCAGCTAATTACCATCACTTCCACCTTGAAATTCACCCCCCTCCTTAAATTCCCTCTAGCCTCCATTACAGCTAGTTACCATCACTTCCACCTTGAAATTCACCCCACCCCCACCCCCGCAAGTTCCTACCCAGTGCATTGTGGTTTGGCACCTTCTTGTATGACCCACCTTTTGGTTTCTCCTGGCCCTCTGAAACTGTGTTTCCTAGGGTCTCGCCTATTTTAGGTGGCTTCCATAGGAATTAAACAGAGATGACTCATTCTGTGTTATCCCCAACTTTTCTTGAATCCTGCATTTTCAACACTTGTTACACCATTGAGATACCTTACTGGTACTTGAAATTCAAAATCTTTAAAAATAAATAAAAGTGAACTTCCATATTCTTCTCCACACCTAAACCTCCTTTCTAATCCCAGGCGTGGTTTATGACACCCCATGGTCTTGTAGCCACTTTGGCTTGAAATCATAGCTAGACTTTTGACTCTATACCCACTCTGCACTACCCTCCTGCCCAAAACCCACTCTGCACTACCCTCCTGCCCAAAACCCACTCTGCACTACCCTCCTGCCCAAGTTTAATGATCCTATGTCTGTAATTCTCACATCAGTCACTATTTATTCCTACAAAGCCTCCTCAGTTCAGGCCTTCTTCAGCTTTCTTACCCACTCATGCCCTTCTGCACATAACTCAAGTAAATCTCCCGAACACATTTTTCTGTTCAGAAACTTAAAATGATTTCCTTTTACTTGCAAAACAATCCAGTTTATCCTTTGAATGCATTCATTTATTCCTTAAATATTTATTTGGCATCTACTATGTTTCAGATACCTATTATGTACCAGGCACTTGAATTTTATAGCTAGGAGCAATAATTAAGATCTAATCCTTGCTCCATAATTTGGCCTTAACCTACCCTTTCCATTTACTCCTCACAAACTCTTTGTTCAAACTCTTCACATAAACTACAGGTTCCCCAATATGCCATTCTTTGTTGATTGAGAGCTTTTGTCCATTCCCTTGTCTAACACACTTTCCTCTATTGCTCTGATATTCTTAGTTACAAGGATTCTTCTTTAGATTTCCTAAGACACATTATTTCTACCTTACAACTCTGTTATTTGTGTACATATCCTCTTCATCTCAAGTAAGCTCCTTGAAGACATAATGTGTATATAATTAATCTTTTCACTTTTGCAGTGCCTATTACAAAACATTACACAAAGTATATGCTCAATATATATTTGTTGGGCTGAAGTCCCTCAATTCTACCATACTTGCCTTTTCTCCCAGGTGATAATACAAATGTAAAAAGCACAGACTTGGTGCACCTGGCTGACTCAAAGGGTGGCGTGTGCAACTCTCGATCCTGGGGTTGTGGGTTCAAGCCCCGCATTGAGTGTAGAGATTGCTTAGAAATAATAAAATCTTGGGGCACCTGGGTGGCTTAACTGGTTAAGCATCTGGCTCTTTGATTCAGCACAGGTCATGATCTCATGATTCATGAGTTTGAGCCCTAAGTCGGGCTCAGTACTAACAGCTCAAAGCCTGCTTATGATCATTTCTCTCCCCTCTCTGCC